ATCGTCAGTATTGAAGGATATGCGTACGTATTTTTTTTTAAATCTTTTCAAACAACATAACGTTAATTTAAATTTTGATAATTTAACTCTACTTTCAGGATCACCGGGAAAGGATTTTAAAAATAAGTGGATATATGCACGATATGCGGTTTTATATTGATGATTTAAATCATAATAGACTTAATATCAATAATAACGATTTAGAGACAAATGGGAGTCTATTATGTGTACGGGAATAATAACTACACCGTGAACTATGAATGGAAAAGAAATAAACTGAATAACTGACTGTTTGTGACAACCAAAATGCAATAAACAATAATGATAAATAAGTATGTCACTATTAATAGATACATCTTTTATTTGGAATAAAAACCATCGAATATAAATACACGAACTGAATTACTATAAATAATGTTGATGTTTTTTGTATTCTGATGAAAAGCGTGATAATAAAACCTCCATGAGTTCCGTATTATCTCCATTGTTATACAATGTAACAAAATATAATTCTTTGCTACTACAGTGATTGTGTTCTTTCCAGAGAACAAAATGGCGTCTTTAATCATGTAAATCTATACAGTATTCATTATGCTCTGTCTTTGTATTTCTCATACATCTCATGTGGATGTTAACTTAATACGTACATGTATTTTCTTTTCAATGATAGTGTAACCCAGAAAGCAACCCCAAAAGAAACTGAATCATATATTGCGTAACAGCCTTGGCTATAATTAATGTTCATTTCTGAAGGAAACAACTTCAAAAGGTAATGAACTAATTCAACGTGTTTAGACATTTACATATGCTATGAATAAATATATTTTTCGTTATAAATCATTCTATATTTATAATCCATAAAGTAAAACTTGTGTCACCTATCTCAATAAATATTTGGCACAAAATTAACAAAGAAATATAAGATAATGGGTTAATCATTTTTCTGCAAGGATAAAATCCGAAGATGTTTTTATTAAAAACACGAAAACATTCAACGTGGTGTGA